CATTGCGTGTTGGGTCAAAGGGTCAGCGCTTGTTTTACTCTGTGTTAGCCGTGTAACAGGCCTGACATGTCTTAACACTGAAGGGCAGATGAGACGGGAGAGCGCTTTATACTGATGCATTGTGACTGTGCAGGGTATTTTGGGTCGTTGCAGTATCTCTCTCCTCCGGAACGTCACGGCCATGTCAGATCCTGGTCAATCTTTCAGGCGGGCGACCACGAGGCTGTGAAACTCACCCTAGACATCTCTGATTAATTGCTTTGATTTTTAAATCAGAAGCTCCTCTAGATACATATTTTACGGCTTGTGTTCAAATTGTTTTTTAGTAGCACAGGATGCGCTGAGTTTTCAATGTCAGGTAGAGCTGGCGTTGTTCTTTTTAACAGTATTCAGCTAAATTAGGAGTAAGTTATTTGAGGGAATCTCAAAAAACCTGTCTAGAATATGTCTGGGTTATTCTTTCAAAGAAAGAAATAAGTTATGTTATGTATAGGAAACTGACGGCTATTTTTAAGTTCTGAAATGTTTAGCATAGTGACATTAATTTAACATGGGTAAATTTGATCCATTATTTAAAAAAAGACATGTACAAAATTATTAAAAAAAGATATTTTTAAAGATATTTTTATTAGACTTTTCATTTCAAAATTGTATTTGATTTTATTCATTATATATTTTAATAAATTGTTTTAACAAGTAAAATTTGTTTATTTTTATTTTTAGATATTCTTGACAATGTCAAAAAGTCTTGTTCCATTAATGTTCAAGGTGAAAACCATATGTGTAATTTATTATAATTAATTAATTAATATAATTTTTAAATAAATTTTTAAATGTACATTTTATGTACTTTCATAATTTATAAATAAATGTATATTTTTACTATAAATTTACGACATTGTCAAGAAAATTATGTAACAACAAAAAAATCTCAGAGGCCCTCAAATTGCTTAATTTTCTGTATATAAATCTTTTTTTATTTGATTTCAGGATAAACATTTTCTTTGTTATTATGTGAAATTCATTTATTAAATAACATTGAGTCTGCTCATTAAATTGTTCTGATGCATGATACTCATGTCGTCATTAGCACCGTAGTTTCACACAATTGCATGCAGAGTCCAAAATGAACACTCAGCAAGTGCCAAATACCTGTAATAATTGGTTTTGGCAAGGAATAAAACAAATAAAACTGGCCAGTTGGTTGTTTTTAGGAAACAGACTGACCCTCGTCCAAGTGTTTCTCTTATTTTTGTATCAAAACAAGCCGTGTATAGAAATAAACACCCATGGAGCAAAAAAAACAACATTATATTTAATGTTTGTGTATATATATGCATTCTTATGTTTGACTGTATTATAATACAGCATGGTTAGTGAATAATTAAAATAGTAAGGAAACAAATGTTCGTTACAACATTATTTAAGCACATGTATTAATTGAAAACCCTGTGCTTAAAGATTTAGCACATGTCATGTAAGCTGAGGTTAATAATCTCTGTGGGTGTTGTGGAGTGATATTGTGAACATATGTTTGACATCATAGCTGTTTTAATCGTGTGCTTGTGAATGACTGGAACGCTAAACTGACCAATCAGCTTCCAGAACCATCCGTTTTATAATGTATTATTTACCACAGTATTTTGGAAGCAGCGATTTCTACATTTGAGCCAAGTGTTGGCTGCTCTTGAAAGGCTGCTGTGAAGGATATGGTGCTCAGAGACAACATTATGTGTGTGTGTTTATTGGGCCTGCAGTATGTACTTGGAAAAGGCAGATCCTCTTGAGCCAAATGAGTAGGAAGTACACATGGCTTGAGCAAACAGCAGTAATAAAATTCAGCATTAGCTGCTAAAGCATATCACATTATCTGACCCCGCAGCCAACTCTCCACACAAATACTGCAGCTCCAAACATACCTATTTATACCAATTTGTTTTACACGTTTTATGCGCCTCATAATGTTCTCTGCGAGGTACAAGCTTGCTTTTCATTTTTAATCAAGATTTAAACCACTTCAAAGTGGCATGTTTAATCAGTAAGTCTGTTTGTATCATTACCCTGCAGGAATATCCAGCTACATTTGATGATAGTTTGTTTTGCGTGGTTTCTGGATGCTTATTTATGGTCATTAGCTGGTACAAGATATTAGTTTGACTAGCTGGTGGGACCTACTTGTTTAAAGCTGCTAGGATCCTGGGTCAGCAAGGTTATAATGTTACAAAATAAAATTTTGAGCAGCTTGACCACTTTATTTGACCTGTTTTGTCCAGAAAGATCTCAGTAAGGGTTTGTGCGATATTTATCGTCTGCAATAATATCGTAATTGTTGTTTTAATGATGTGCGAGCTGATGTTATCAAGTAGCCTGTGTCACTGACTTTGCAAAACAACAACAAAACACGTTTTAAAAGCCTAAAAGCAATCACTGCATGATGAAGCCTATTACAATGCAGTTAGAATGACCCTATAATTATGAAAGAATTATGGGGTTTTGTTTTTTGTATTTATATGGTAACGTAAGATCACACAAGCAACCATGTCATTTTCCTAAATATTAGCACGTGAGCTTCTAATTGAATCAGTGGTTTTGAATTAATCGTTTGAGTAAATGATTAAATGAATCACTCATTAAGACGGGGACTTGCTGCCACCTACTGGCAGTTTTAGTGTCATATTTATCCTTGACAGGCCTAAACCAGCAAAGGCATTTAATTTAGTAGGGACGCTTGGGACATGTCCCTACCAATAACCAGTGATTGCTAAATTGTCCCTTTAATTTTGATCAAAAAATTTAATATATGTGTAACCACTGTTGTTGTAATTTTGGCTGCATCTGAAATAGATCATACCATTGATATTGCCTGAGAAGTTAAAGAAATACGCTAGGAAACTGCATGCTTTCAAGGGCGCACATTTAATAGCCTACATGAGCGGAGTAAGAACATATAAGGTAGCCGAAGTGTTTAAAACATATGTGCACAGTTCAGTTAGCTAAATGATTACCCTTTTTAACTTTGTTGTTATGCTGTTTTGTGTTCATCTGCTTCTCTCATTTGCTCTTTTTACATTGACTATTTATTACAGTACTGATCAATTAAATATTCACCTAATGAGATGACTAGATGCTTTCAACTGATGAACAACGCGGATCGTGAATCATTTGATTTCGATCGGGACTTCGGAGCGGTTTCACAAATTTTTTATTCAGATCGGGACTTCGGAGCCCGGATCGTGAATCATTTGATTTCGAGCGGGACTTCGGAGCAGGTTTGTGAATCTTTTGATTCAGATCGGGACTTCGGAGCGCGGATTGTGAATCAATTGATTTCGATCGGGACTTCGGAGCGGTTTCACAAATTTTTTATTCAGATCAGGACTTCGGAGCGCGGATCGTGAATCATTTGATTCCAATCGGGACTTCGGAGCGGGTTCGTGAATCTTTTGATTCAGATCGGGACTTCTGAGTGTGGATCGTGAATCATTTGATTTCGATCGGGACTTCGGAGCGGGTTCGTGAATCTTTTGATTCAGATCGGGACTTCAGAGTGCGGATCGTGAATCATTAGATTTCGATCGGGACTTCGGAGCGGTTTCACAAATTTTTTATTCAGATCGGGACTTCGGAGCCCGGATCGTGAATCAATTGATTTCGATCGGGACTTCGGAGCGGGTTCGTGAATCTTTTGATTCAGATCGGGACTTCAGAGTGCGGATCGTGAATCATTAGATTTCGATCGGGACTTCGGAGCGGTTTCACAAAATTTTTATTCAGATCGGGACTTCGGAGCCTGGATCGTGAATCATTTGATTTCGATCGGGACTTCGGAGCGGGTTCGTGAATCTTTTGATTCAGATCGGGACTTCGGAGCGCGGATCGTGAATCATTTGATTTCGATCGGGACTTCGGAGCAGTTTCAGAAATTTTTTTATTCAGATCAGGACTTCGGAGCCTGGATCATGAATCATTTGATTTCGATCGGGACTTCGGAGCGGGTTCGTGAATCTTTTGATTCAGATCGGGACTTCAGAGTGCGGATCGTGAATCATTAGATTTCGATCGGGACTTCGGAGCGGTTTCACAAAATTTTTATTCAGATCGGGACTTCGGAGCCTGGATCGTGAATCATTTGATTTCGATCGGGACTTCGGAGCAGGTTCGTGAATCTTTTGATTCAGATCGGGACTTCGGAAGCGCGGATCGTGAATCATTTGATTTCGATCGGGACTTCAGAGCGGTTTCACAAATTTTTTATTCAGATCGGGACTTCGGAGCCTGGATCGTGAATCATTTGATTTCGATCGGGACTTCGGAGCAGGTTCGTGAATCTTTTGATTCAGATCGGGACTTCGTAGTACGGATCGAGAATCATTTGATTTCGATCGGGACTTCAGAGCGGTTTCACAAATTTTTTATTCAGATCGGGACTCCGGAGCCTGGATCGTGAATCATTTGATTTCGATCGGGACTTCGGAGCAGGTTCGTGAATCTTTTGATTCAGATCGGGACTTCGGAGTGCAGATTGTGAATCATTTGATTTCGATCGGGACTTCGGAGCGGTTTCACAAAAGTTTTATTCAGATCGGAACTTCGGAGCGTGGATCGTGAATCTTTTGATTCAGATTGGGACTTAGGAGCGCATAACGCAAATCTTTTTTTCTGGTTTAGAGCCAGATTTCTGTTCACATGTCCTCAAATCCAGCAACTATCCTACTAAATTGTCCCTATCAATAATTTTGATCAAACAGTCTGCCACCATGTCCCCACCAATGCCAAAATCAAACCTACACCCTTGCACTTAGGAAAATATCATTTAATTATTGTCATCAAAAATAAAGATAAAATCCCAATAAAAATCAAGATATAATTATTTTCGGTCAATATCGCACACCCCTAGGCTTAACTGCAGACAGGAGAGACCATCTGACTGACATGTAATATGACCAGCCACAGTTTGTTTAGTGTTTATGTTCCCTTTTTCACATATATACTGTTTTTAGGGTATATCGAGGAGGCCTGCATCGTACCCTGCCCGTCTGATTGTAAACTCAGCGAATGGTCCAACTGGTCGCGCTGCAGTAAATCTTGTGGCAGCGGGGTCAAAGTTCGCTCAAAATGGCTCAGAGAAAAGCCTTACAATGGAGGAAGACCCTGCCCAAAACTGGACCACCTTAACCAGGTAAACACCACACTTCCATATGCATGTAGAAATACATTTTAAAGATGTTAAATTACATTTTTTTTATTTAGATATGTGACCCTGGACCAGGGTCTTAAGTCGCTGGGGTATATTTGTAAGCAATAGCCAAAAATACATTGTATGGGTCAAAATGATTGATTTTTCTTTTATGTCAAAAATCATTAGGACATTAAGTAAAGATCATGTTCCATGAAGATATTTTGTAAATTCCCCACTGTATATATATCAAAACTTAATTTTTGATTAGTAATATGCATTGCTAAGAACTTCATTTGGACAACTTAAAAGGCGATTTTCTCAATATTTCGATTTTTTTTGCACCCTCAGATTCCAAATTTTCAAATATTTGTTTCTCGGCCAAATATTGTCCTATCCTATCCTAGCTTATTTATTCAGCTTTCAGATGATGTATAAATAAATTACTTATTGTGGTCCAGGGTCACATATAGTCCATGGAGGTTCAGGGGTTTCAAATAATAAATTTGTTTAATAAGATCATTAAAACAAAGTTTTAAAGGTATTAGATGTTAATGTACATTGTTTTATATCTTATACATTGAGTACCTGCTTTTTCTGTTCCAACACCTAGTGATCTGCCTACATAGACCGCATACTAACTGAAATGAAACCTACAATACAGATTCACATTACAATTACTGTTTTAGGGTGTAATCACACCTGTCTTGCTTGGTTCGATTGAATCAAACTCAAGTTTGTTTCCCCTTTTGGTGAGGTGTGAATAAACAACCGTACCATGACCCAGCTGAAGAGGTGGTCTCGGTCCGCTTCCAAGCAAACTCTGGTAGTGTTGAATGGATGACCTTAAGCACACATGTTGTTTTGTTTACAATTTCTGGTTCACTTGCAAAAAGGGCAGCGTGAAAGTGAACCGCACCAAACAAACAAACAAAAAAAATCAACATTGTTTTTGGTCCAGACCAAAGCAAGTGAACTAGTGGGCTTTCCTGGTGTGAATACACCCTTATACAATACAGATTTTAGTGTAGTATATTTGCTAAAAAAGCATATTCTAATGAGCATAAATATACCAGTGTTATTATAGTTAACTAAAACTAAAACCATTAAAAAAATGTTACTTGAAATATAGTAAAAGTAACAAAGTACTGAAATAACTAGAAATTAAATCAACTAAAACTAATAAATAACAAATAACAAAAACTAATAAAAATGGCAAAAACAAAATGACTATAACTAAAAGTAATTAAAGACAAAACATTTAAAAATACAATTTAATTGAAAATATGAACAAAATCTTTAATAGTAGAGTATATCATTGACACTCAAATAACTCTGTTGTTGATGTAATAATGAACATAGCAGTCGTCATTTACTCCCGACATCTGAGCCGCTGAAGACGCAGTGGAGTATGTTTGTTTTTGGAGGAAATGCGCCCCATTTATCTTTCCTCTTCCCCCGTTTTGGATGGGTGTAGTTTGAATAGAGTGTATTGTAATGCACTGTTGGGATTGCCAAAGGATACATGAAGTGCTACCTTAAAATTTGTCCAGAAGAAGGTATCAGCAGGCAAGCATACTGATTTGACATTGCTTAAGGCATAGGAGCACACCTGTGATATCTTAAAATATTGTCTACATAGGCAGTTCACTAGGCTTTGGAACAAAGTCAAGTTCAAAGTTTCCCTCAATTTTTGGAACCGTTGGCTCTGATTATTCAGTGAAAATCACATGCTTAAGATCCAAAAATAGGTTCACAAGTGAATCTTAAATTATTCAGAAATACTTGTCTTTTCAGCTCTCTCTTTTTTTTTTTTACTGAGATTTACTAGAAATAAACGACACCACATTAAAGTGTTTCTGAGATCTTTGGTTTAATTTCAGTGCTTTCCTTTTTATTAATTAAGAGATTATTATTAGGGTGTCATGTCGTTTTACATTTAACAAATTTGAACATGTCTAGAGAAAGTAATTACACAGCCTTCTGTACTGTCAATGACAAATCAAAATGTTACCTATTTATTTTCATTATAGATATCTCTGGTCTTGTAAACTGTATTTCATGTTGAGTTTAAGCAATGCCATTTCTTAAAAAGAAACAACAAGAAGTGCATTTTTAACTGAACATGATGTTTTACAGTGCTTTGGTCTCTAGACGCAGATGTTCTAATGACATTTTTCTCTAACTCTCCAATAACGCTGCTTGGCCACAGGCACAGGTATGTCTTTCTTTTTTTACATTTCTCATTCCAAAGTTGATTTAAATTTTAAAAGTAGCCTCCCTTCCAAAAATGGTGTGTCCCACATTAAAGCTACGGCACACTGGCAACTGGTGCACTTGAATCAATAATTTTTTTATTATTTATTTTTTTATTTTTGAAAATCTGTTGAATGAATATCCCGATTGATTGATTTAACTTTAATTGATTTGCTTTGTGTGTGATTGTATATGTGTGGTGGGTGGTCTGGTGTTGCAGATGTATGAGGTGGTCCCGTGCGTCAGTGACTGCAGTCAGTATATCTGGGTAGCTGAACCCTGGAGCGTGTGGAAGGTCAGTAACGTGGATCTAAAGGAGAACTGTGGCGAGGGCATTCAGACTAGAAGAGTCAGGTGAGTGTCTTTCCTTATATTTACTGTACTGTTACTGACATTATACTGTGCTCATCTTTGATGGTCCTGCAGGTGTATGTTGAACACAGTGGACGGTCCCTCTGATGCGGTGGAGGACTATCTGTGTGATCCAGAGGAGATACCGCAGGGCACGAGGGAGAGCCGCCTGCCCTGTCCCGAGGACTGTGTGCTGTCCGACTGGAGCCCCTGGACCCTATGTGACCTGGTCAGGATTATCGCTAATCCTTTTAAACCCTGTTCACACTAGGGTCGCATCTCCGCATTAATTTAATTTTTTTAATATTTCATTTCTTTGAAAAGACCCTAGTAATGTCACATTTCAGAGGAGATCTCAGCAGTGTCTCAGTGCATCAGATTTGCCAAGAGAGCAAAGTCTGCAATCAAAAGATCTCAATATAAACTCAAACATTTCTCAGAACAAACAACTTGGCTACTATCCACTATATATATATATATATATATATATATATACAGTGGGGACGGAAAGTATACAGACCCCCTTACATTTTTCACTCTTTGTTAAATTGCAGCCATTTGCTAAAATCATTCTGTCAATATGGGGTGCTGTGTGTACATTAATGAGGAAAAAAAATTAACTTAAATGATTTTAGCAAATGGCTGCAATTTAACAAAGAGTGAAAAATGTAAGGGGGTCTGAATACTTTCCGTACCCACTGTATATATATATACACACATTTTTTTTTTTTAGCATTACGTGCAATATTTTGAATTGGCGTTTATTTTTATATTTTCAAAACTCACATTTTTGTTTAGGTTTTAGTATTTGTGTTATGTGCTTTTGTTAGTTTTTTAGTTTTATATTTGTTTATATTTATTTTTATTTCAGTTTTAGTTTTAACAATTATAGTACTTCAACTTACAACAGTTTATTTCTGTTAGATGTGAAGGCAACATTTCTAATTTTCGTTTGTTTTTTCACTTTAAGTTTTCCATCTGATATTTTTTTCCACTTCAGCTTCACAAACCTAAAATTATTTTTAGTCATTTAGTTATTTGCTTTTGTCCTTTTAATTATTTTTTTATCATTCTATTTAGATTTAATTTATTTATTTCAGTTTTAGTAGTTTTGGGGGGAAGAGATATTTTAAGTTAGTTAATGTAACATTTATCTTTTTTTTCAGATTTATTTCAATCCAAAAAAGATTTTTAATAATGTTAATCATTTTATATGTTTTTGTCATTTTCATGAGTATTTTTTATATCTTTAATAAATGTATTTTATTTTATTTATTTATTATATTAATTTCTTTCTTTAGTTATAATTTTAGCTTTAATCATTTTAATACATAAAGATATTTATTTATTTCTAGTTGCCAAGGCAACATTCTTTAAGTTTAAGTTAATATTTTTAATCTAATATTTATATTTTATTCCAGCTTTATTTAAATCCCCAAAACAATAGCAACACTGATTATCAATAACAACACTGATTTTTATTATTATTATTATTATTATTTTATCCTAAGCATCTGAGACATCTAAGAAATCCCTTAAAACCCTTGAGCAGTCTGAGCAATAACATTTTTGGCTTATGCTAACAGGGACATAATTTTATCCTGGGCTTATATGATTTCAGTTAGAGCCAACTTACATTGAGGCATAAATAGTGGCATAAAAATGAGAGCAGGTCACTTGTTAGACAGTAAATGAGCAGCTTGAGGAGAAATATGAGAGAATTATGAGCTCACTAACGTGAATGAACAGCAGTCTGTTTTATTGGCCTCTTAAAGCCGTGTTCTGGAAGAGGAGATCGGGAGAGGACGGCGTTTGCGCTGCGTCTGCCTAAAGAGGGAGAGGACTGTCCGGTTAGCATGCAAACGGAGCCCTGCCTCCTGAACCGCAACTGCTTTCACTACAGTTACAACATCACTGGTGAGTAGACCAAAACTGCACTGTGTTTCCCCAAACAGATTTCCTAACTATGGTTGCTTGATTTGAGGAAAAAATCGAATTGAATGCAAATACATAAAATTAAAATAAAAAATTAGTAAATACGTAAAAAAAAAAAATTATATATATATATATATATAAATTAAAAAAATCCAGGTTTCCTGTGTTTGTTTGTAGGCTGCACAATTTGGCCTACAATTTGTCGAACACTTTATAACAATATGGCTATAAAATAATAATTTAAAATGTGGTTATTATTATTTTTAGTTTAAAAAATCAGCACACATGGCCAATAATAATAATAATAATAATAATAATTATTATTATTATTATTATTTAAAATGTGGTTGTTATTATTATTTTTAGTTAAAAAACAGCACACATGGCAAATAATAATAATAATCATTTAAAATGTGGTTGTTATTATTATTTTTAGTTTAAAAAAGTAGCACACATGGCCATTAATAATAATAATAATTATTATTATTATTGCTATTGTTGTTATTGTTATTATTATTGCTTTTATTGTGCTCATTTGTAAGTCGCTTTGGATAAAAGCGTCTGCTAAATGACTAAATGTAAATGTAAATTATTTTTGTTGTTATTGGCCAAATTGTGCAGCATTAAAAACAAGGGTGTTTAAAAAATATATATATTATTAATTATTTTTATTATTGGCCATATGCAACTTTACAAACAAGGCATTTTTAAACAAAACAAAATTAATCAAAATTAATCTAATTTTAAATTTGTATTATTATTATTATTATTATTATTATTATTATTATTATTATTACTACTACTACTGCTAACTAAAATATATAAATTTCTAAATAAAAACAAAACAAGAAATATTAGTATTGTAATATTTGACTGTAAAATAAAAAATCAGGTGTTTAAGAAAAATCACAATTATAATAGTTTTATATTTGACATTACATTAAAATGATAAAACAGTCATATTTATGGGTGTCTTAATTTCCCAAATGGTTTGCCAAATTGTATCCTCTCTAAAGTTAATGTGACATTAATGATCCAAATCAATAAATAAAATCAATATTTTTACCTCAAAACATCTTGTTTCTCTCTAAAAATACACCACGGTACTGCAGTAAAATTGGTTGTGAATGCCGTTTCTTGTTGACTTGAACACTTTTGTCCTGCTCTTTGGCTGCCTGTTGTTTTTTAGTTCTTCTAGTCTGGGCATTATCCACACAGCACTTCCTTTTCTCTTACTGTTTTGAGTTACCGTTCACATGAATGAGTCATTCAAGAGCTTGGATCATTACTGGAGCTGCTTACTCCATCTGTTCAGACTTCATTCACGATTCCCCTCCAAGAGCCTCAAAGTGAAGCGCAGCGGTGGCGTCAGTTTATGGAGCTGAGACGGTGTCCTCAAACCGTCCACTCACGAGGACGCAAGCAACCTCTGACCTAGACGTGTAGTTTAATGAGAACTCGCAAGGTGAAATCTGTGTGTGTGTGTGTTCACTTAGACTGGAGCACATGCCAATTAAGTGCCAGCGCTGTGTGTGGAATCGGTCTCAAGACGAGGATGCTGGACTGCGTTAGAAGTGACGGCAAATCTGTTGACCTCAAGTACTGCGAGGAGGTTTGTGCATTTATTCTCAGACACTGCCTCTTGTGAATTTTCTTCTCAGTAGTAGCAGCTAGAGTTGCTTTTCCAGTACCAACAAGAGAATAGTGTTAAAGTTTTAGGAAAGTGTGGGTTTTACACTTTGATTCTGTGTTAATGAAAAGCTTCATGACTCTTATAACCCTCAGTGTGTGCTTTATTTTATGTTGTTACGCAAAAATCTGCGCAATGTTACAATATTACAGTGATGTCATCACTGTTGGTTACATTTTGATTAGTGAACATTCTATCATTGTAAATCACCGAGAGATTTTCTTGAATATATAGTTTACAAAGTTACTGAAATGATCTACATTACGTTTGAATGGAATCTGTTCTCAAGAAGAATGAAAATGTTTGTGAAGTTTTAATATAGAAAAATATACTACATTGTGTATGGTTTTGGTTCAGGAAGATTGTTTTCATGTTTTTGAAAGAAGTCTCTTTTGCTCACAAGATAGTGTTTATTTGATCACAAGTACAGTAAAAAAACAGTAATATTGTGAATTATCACTGCAATTTAAATTAACTTGTTTTCTAATTTTATATATTTTAAAATGTAATTTATTCTTGTCATGCAAAGCTAAGTTTCCAGCATCATTACTCCAGTCTTCAGTGTCACATGATCCTTCAGAAATCATTCTAATATGCTGATTTGCACAATTTGAAAACAGTTGTGCTTAATATTTTAGTGGAAACCGTGGTCATTTTTTTCTGGATTCTTTGATGAATAGAATGTTCAAAAGATCAGCATTTATGTGAAACATAATTTTTTTTTGTAACTTAAACTGTCACTTTTGATCAATTTAGTGCATCCTTGATTAATAAAACTTTCAATTTATATAAAAAAATTTAATCTTACTAACCCCAAACTTTTAAACAGTATATTCCTCAAAAATATGCATTATAGCAAACACCACTAAAACATAAAAAAGAAAGAAAAATGTAATAAAATGTTTAAGTCTCTAAATCTGCTGTTATGATGTTATATCTACTAATATGATGTTGAGATCAAGTGGAAAGAAACAAGGTTATTTTGTGCCATTTTAAACTGTAGGTTAATGTGAAAAGATATGGCAAAAGATCAGTCAAAATCCGACAGCTCTGGTCACTTTAATTGGACCCTGTGGGCAATAAATCTTAAAAGTGTTAATGCATGGCATATTAGCCCTGTAACCTAGTTTTCAACCAGCCCACTTTATATCAGGGTTACAATTAGTCTAGTGTAGAACACAACTACCCCTAGTTCTACATTTTTTTTTTTTAATTCATGAATGCTTATTTCATTCCGCAGCTGCGCTTAGAGAAGAAATGGCAGATGAATTTTGGACCCTGTGGGCAATAAATCTTAAAAGTGTTAATGCATGGCATATTAGCCCTGTAACCTAGTTTTCAACCAGCCCACTTTATATCAGGGTTACAATTAGTCTAGTGTAGAACACAACTACCCCTAGTTCTACATTTTTTTTTTTAATTCATGAATGCTTATTTCATTCCGCAGCTGCGCTTAGAGAAGAAATGGCAGATGAATGCTTCGTGTACGGTGGAGTGTCCAGTCAACTGTCAGCTCTCTGATTGGTCAGCATGGTCAGACTGCTCACAGACCTGTGGCCTTGAAGGTAAAGCCAAAAAAATGAACAAATATATGACTTCTTACTGCTGTATTAAATGTATTTGTAATTGTCAGATACACACATTCAAAAGGTTGGGGACTGTTCAATTTTTTAAGGCTGCTTTTATTTGATCAAAATACATAAAAACCAGTAATATTGTGAAATAATATTGATTTTTACAATAACCGTATTCTATGTTAATAAATGTTAACATTCCTGTGATGCAAAGCTGAATTTTCAGTCTTCAGTGTCACATGATCCTTCAGAAATCATTCTAATATACTGATTTGCCGCTCAATACACTTATATTATTATTATCAATGTTCAAAACAGTTGTGCTGCTTCATATTTTTGTGGAAACCATGATACATTGTTTTGTTTTGTTTTCAGGATTGTTAATGAACAGAAAGTTCAAAATAACAGAATTTATTTGGAATATAAATCTTTTGTAATATTATAAATATCTTTACTCTGACTTTTGATTAATTTAATGCATCCTAGCTGAATAAAATGATTAATTTCTTTAAAAAAACATCTTATCATCTCAGCCCAATAAATTGCACACAAAATTGGAAAACACATCAAAATAGCAAGCTCAAAATCTAATTTTCTGACTTAAGTGCAACTTTAAAGTAAAGAAAAACAAAGCAAAACATTGGTCTTGGTGTCATGGTGCCATGCTCACCTGTTTGACATTAGCTAAGTATGTAGGCTATAAAATTGAGCATGCAGAAAAAGGGCAGCATAGGAGAATGGAGCTTCGGAAACATGTGATGAAATGGTGGACTTTGAGAAGGTACTGTTAGAAGAAAACAGATGGAAGCAACACTAGATAGAAACTGACAGTCTGCCTGCCAAACACTTCCAAGATAAGGCAGAAAAAGCAGAGCGAGACAGAAGGCGGTGCATTGTGTGCAGTTTTATGCTAAACACATGTGGGATGAGCTAGAGTTATCTGAGACTGCCGTGCCTTGAGCTAGACACTGAAAGATGAGTGTGTGTGTGTGTGTGTGTGTGTGTGTGTGTGTGTGTGTGTGTGTGTGTGTGTGTGTGTGTGTGCAAGCAGAGCACCAAATCTGTCAAAAACAGGATCAGGTCATATTTCACTCTGAAAAATCTAAACTTTTGTGACTTTATTTTTCACTCTCGTAATGTTCACTATCATTCAAAAGTTTGGGGTCTGCAAGTTTTTTTTTTTTCTTTTAGAAAGAATTAATAATTTTATTCAGCAAGGATGCAATACATTTATCAAAAGTGACAGTGATGGCATTAATAATGTTACAAAAGATTTATATTTCAAATAAAGGCTGTTCTTTTGAACTTTCAATTCATCATGGAAAAGTATCATGGATTCCACAAAGAATATGAAGCAGCACAACTTGTTTTCAACATTGATAATAATCAGAAATGTTTCTTGAGCAGCAAATCATCATATTTGAATGATTTCTGAAGAATCATGTGACACTGAAGACTGGAGTAATGATGCTGAAAATTCAGCTTTGCATCTCAGCAATAAATTATATTTTAAAATATATTCAAATAGTAAACTGTTATTTTAAATTGTAATAATATTTCAAAATATTGCAATTTTTTACTGTATTTTTGATGAAAGAGCGTTCTTTTAAAAACATCTTTAAAAAATCACATTGACCCCAAACCTTTGCATGGTAGTGTGAAAAATCACTTCTAAATGTATTGCAAAAAAAAAGATATTATAATATAATTGTGAAGTATTTATAACTACATAAAAAGTCATATTACCATATTTTTACTGTGGTGCAGAACAAGATTTTTGAGGTCAGCTATTTCTTTAAATTGTGTTGCTCTCTGTGGAACTGAAGCTCAAACTCATTTCTCTGTCTTATGTCTCAATTCCTCAGGGAAGATGTGGCGCAGACGGACGGTGGTTGAGGCGTCTCAGGGGGACGGCAGGCCGTGTTCGTCTCAGATGGAGCACTGGAAGCCGTGTCCTGTGAGACCCTGTTACAGATGGCAGTACGGCCCGTGGTCCGAGTGCCGTGTTGAGGTCTTTTTCAGTTCTTATAGATCAAACAGCTGAATGTAAATTCACAGATCCGAGGTCATCAAATCTGAACTTAAGCACTTCAAGATGAAACTTCATCACAGAAATGCATTCACGTTCAAAGAGAACGTCTCAGGTTACTTATGTAACCGTGGTTCCCTGAGTAGGGAACGAGACACTGCGTCCTCTAGGGGTCGTTATGGGGAAACCTAGAGGACGCAGTTCGAAGTTCCCATGAAAGGGAACGTCTCAGGTTACTTATGTAACCATGGTTCCCTGAATAGGGAACGAGACACTGCGTCCTCTAGGTTTCCCCATAGCAACCCCTAGAGGACACAGTTCGAAGTTCCCATGAAAGGGAACATTCAAAGTTTGGTGAACTCGGACTTGCTAAGGTTCTAGGTCAAGTCCATATTTCACAATTCATGATTTTTTTTTCTAAAAAAAGACAAATTGTCAATGTCAAACTATCCACACTAAAGTTCACAATAGTACATAGGTTTTGGGTCGGTAAGATTTGTTCCGCTCACCAAGACTGCATTTATTTGATTAAAAAATACAGTAAAATTGTGAAATATTATTACTATTTAAAATAACTATTTTCTATTTGAATATATTTTAAAATGTAATTTATTCCTGTGATGCAAAGCTGAGTTTTCAGCATCATTACTCCAGTCTTCAGTGTCACACGATCCTTCAGATATCATTCTAATATGCTGATTTGCTGCTCAACAAACATTTATTATTATTATCAATGTTAAAAACAGTTGTGCTGTTTATTATTGTAGTGGAAATTATCATTTTTTTCAGGATTCTTTGAAGAATATAAGGTTCAAAAGATGAATATTTATGATAGAAATTAATATAATATTAAAATAATATTATTGTCTTAATGTCCTTTTTAAACAATATAATGCATCATTGCTCAAAAGTTTAATAAAAAAAATAAATAATAACTTTTGAACAATTGTGTACGTCCCTAATCTATAATAAGTTTATCTAATCTTTTGCTTTTTGTTTTTTTGTTATTGTTTTTTTCTATTAATCTCCATTGTGACTCATGAAATTGAAAGGTTTTAGTGTTTATTGAACTGTATTGTACAATAGAACAATGGTTGGTGCTAAACACCTCAATCGCCCATCAGCACATGCTCTGAATGCATTAACGACCCGCGCTGGAACTCCTCACTCTTCCAACACCTTGTTTTCCAATCTCGCTGTCAACCTCGTCTTCTCTTCTATTATTCTCTCTGATCTTCCTCCGTTTCAATCCTGCTTTTGATCTTTGGATTTAGGAAGTGTTTATGACTGCTCGGCGCTCCCATCTGAACCTGTGTTTGTGTGTGTGTGTGTGTGTGTGTGTGTGTGTGTGTTGTAGGAGGTGGTGTGTGGGGTGGGCCTGCGTTTCCGGAACCTGTCGTGCTTTGTATCAGATGGCTCCGGCGATGGGAAGAGCAGCATTGTAGAAGAAGAGCTCTGTGCTGGATTGGAGCAGGCCGTCGATGGAGATAAGAATATTGTTCTGGAGGAGACCTGCACCTTACCCTGCCCTGGTAACAGACTGTTATCGGGACATACAGCAAAAAATACTAATTAAAAAACCCCAGCAACCCAAGAATGACAACACTATAGATTTGTTGGTTTTATTCTGAATATAAAGTCTTTATAATATTGAACGAATACACTACCAGTCAAAAGTTTTTGAACAGTACATTTTTTTTATGTTTTTTAAAGAAGTCTCTTCTGCTCACCAAGCCTGCATTTATTTGCTCCAAAGAAACAGCAAAAACAGTACAATTTTGAAATATTTTTACTATTTAAAATAACTGTTTTCTATTTGAGTATATTCTAAAATTTAATATAGTCCTGTGATTTCAAAGCTGAATTTTTAGCAGCCCAACCCTATAATCTCAATTTACTCAATTTATTTATATATATATACAGTGGGTACGGAAAGTATTCAGACCCCCTTAATCACCCAAAAACGTCATTTTGTCTCAATCCACTTGTTGCAAACCTGTTTTTTGGTTGTTGGCAACCATGTTGGCAACCAAACAGTCGACGGTAGCCATAGACTTTCATAGTATTTTTAAATACTATGGAAGTCAATGGCTACCGTCAACCATGCACTTGGTTCACATTTTGGTTCATTTGAATAGTTTTGGTACTTTTAAACAAGATTGTATGAAAACACCCTTATCGAGTCTCTCTACAGCTGCCTAAAAGTGTACGGCCGCAGAATGTATATTTACTCTATTGATTTCCATCTAGATGGGGAGTGTTATGAGTACCAGTGGATGGGCAATCCTCAGCTGATCTGGTGTCAGCGCTCGGATGGAATAAACGTCACAGGTGCTGTTCTACACCGCTTCACATCTGTTTCTTTACCTCACATGAATAAGCAGCCAATGAGGAATAACATACCAAAACAAACCATCAGAGCCCCTTTGCTAATGGGTCATTGATGAACAGTTTGTGTTTAATCTTTTAATCAATTTCAAGATTTCAGATTAAAATGTTTATGCATGTACAGTATAAAGCAATGAGTACATCTTAGGTTCTGTTGGTATTTTTATACGTTTTTTGCCACTTTTAAATGCCTTTTTGCCTTCTCGAGGTCATGTTTAATGGTCCTGTGGTGTGACAAATGAATTTTTGTAGCTTCTGAATAAATGAGCTCATGAAACTGCATGCATAATAATTTAAAAAACGAATTAGCAGAGTTCTCTTTTAAATACAGTGGTTTTAGATGGTGTATATTATCATGACGCACTACAGAACATCGGAGACTATGATACCAGCATCTGCACACAGTATGCAGTATATACTGTAATATGTATATTGTGCAAAAGATGCCATTTTTCTAGCACATATTGTATGTACGCACATTCCCGATTGACCTATTACTTTCTTCCAAGCCGAGTTGTCAAAAGCTTGAAAATGATCTCTACCCTCTTATTTCTTCCAGGTGGATGCCCTCCAGCTCTACTGCCAGGGACGGACCAGTCATGTGATCCACCTTGTGACAAACCACAGTCATTTTGCTCAGAGGTAAGACAAAAGAGGATTGTGGGATTACTACAGTTCTGAGCCTGAGAGTCTGTAACTGCAGACAGTGCTCCAGCTGCAATTATCATAATGAATGCAACAGAAAATCATGGTCATAAGAGGTACTTTTGTTTTTATTTTTGGATGCAATTGATCTATATTTCTGAAGCATGCTCAATTAGCTTTTTTATGTGTTTGCAAGACCCATTTTTAATCATTTTAAGAAAAGAATAAGTGCATACGAAGTCATAGCTGTACAAATACTTCTAGTCGATTTTTGGAAAATTTTACCCACAATCCCTTGCACATTAACAAAAAAAATGTGTGAATGTTCTCTTTTCTCTAGGGATGGGTGATAACATTTATTTTCTTGGTCAATGTAGGCCAACCCATAAGTTAACATCACACTGGTTCCTTCGACCAAAACCCAAAATTATTTTTCCACTGGTTTTTGATTATTGCAGAAGGTTTATCAATCTTACACATTTGTTCATCAAGTTGATCTTCAAAAACGAGCACAACTTTTATGAATTGTGAAGTCTAAATTCAATCAGCAGAAGTAAAAAGCTAAAGTTAGGCTATAAATGAACTACACCACAGTTGCACATCTTCACCGTCACCGCCATTAAGCTTCAACAACTCTTTCAGTGTTTACTTAAAATTACCATGTTGGAAAGTTTGCGTGAGCGTGATTATGAATGCAGCAAGGCTGTAAAAGCAACTAGTGAGTAGATGAGTTTTTCTGTTCAGTGTGATGACATGTAATGTCCCCGACAACCTCTGTAGTCATATTTAGCAACAAAAAAAAAGACTTAAAAAATCCCAAGTGCCGTATTACTGATGTATTTCATGCCATAGAATAAAATGAGCTTGTGTTATCCACAGACCTTATTTCAGGTGCATTTAACCCATTGAAAAAACATTGACCTTTTAGAACTTAGTGCCGAAATGTCTTGGTTTTAGGACTGAATTGGGTCACAAGCTTTGAGAGGAAGCAGAAAGCATGATAGTATTTATGTGCCTTTGCTGCCCCCTGCAGGAGGGCGTATGTATGTGCGAGGAGGGCTATACCGAGGTGCTGACGACCGAGGGGATGCTGGAGCAGTGTACACCCATCCCTGTGCTCGAAATCCCCACTGCAGTGGACAAGAAAGCTGACGTGAAGACCAGCCGGGCCATCAACCCCACCCTGCCCACCACGGTACAGCCTGGCCGTACCGGACGCACCTGGTACCTGCAACCCTTTGGACCTGGTAAATGTTTCATTAGTCCAGTTTCTCTTAAGCATATATTTTATTTAATTGAACTGAAAGGTCTAAAAAGTTATATTACTCAGCAAACACTTTTAAAATATTTTTTCTTTATTGAATGACAATTAAGTTTTTATTGAAGCTTGTTTTTGTCATGGAATAAAAAAAATTTAAAAGGCAATTGTAACTTTTTATCTCAAAATTCAGAGTTTATATCTTGCAATTCTGATTTTTATTTTTATTTTTTGCTCTGAATTCCGAGTTTACATATTGCAATTCAGGGTTTTTTTTTCCCCACCACAAAATAACAAATAAGTACTATAGCAAGGGAAAAAAAGAAGCCAGAATTGTAAGATAAAAAAAAAACTCAGAATTGTCAGATAAAACGTTGCAATAACCTTTTTTATTTTTTATCCCATGGATAAAATAACACTCAATCACTAGTTTAAAACTTGAAATTGCGATATATAAACTTGCAACTCAAAGAAATAAAAGTCAGAATTGCAAAATCTAAACTGAGAATTCTAACTATTTCGAGATGTAAACTCAGAATTATTAGTTTATAACTCCTTGCTAATTGCTTTATAAGCAGGTGTGAGATATAAACTCCCAGTTCTGAGAAAAAAAGTCAGAACTGCGAGATAAAATATTGCAATAATTTAGTTTTTTTTCTGTGGTGGGAAAAATAATTTCAAGTTCAGGGGGAAAAATAACAATTGTGAAATATTAACTCACAATTACTAGTTTAGAACCTTGTTAGTTTAGGCTTGCGATTTGATGAAAAGAGTCAGAATTGCAAGATCTAAACTGAGAATTCTAAATGAAAAAAAAATCCAGAATTGCCGGAACTCAGAGTTGGTTGTTTTAAATTGCTCTTTTGTAGTATTTCAACTTTGGGAGCTATGAAAATAGCCCAGGAAGATGGCATGGTGTTAAGACACCAACCAACTTAATATAGTTTTGCATTTTGCTGCTGTTTATTGGCCTATGCTAAATATTTTTCACCTCTTTAGATGGAAAGCTGAAGACGTGGGTGTACGGCGTGGCGGCAGGTGTATTTGTCCTCCTGGTATTTATAGTGTCAATGATTTACCTCGCATGGTAAGAAAGACAACCCTTTCCATTCGCTCCATCATCACTCCTTTTATTTTCTCATTCACTCCATGCATTCGTTTGGTTCTGTTTTTCTTTAACTTGCACCCCACCCTCATCCATGCCTCCCTCGCCGTCATGAGCAGCAGTTACTGTGCCATCCGGCGGTCACTCGGGACGCCAGATTCTGCCAACGGTACGGTGGTATGGATGGGCCAAGATGCCCATGAGCTGACATACACCTGCCCTGAGTGCCAGCAGCCAAGTCAAGAGTCAAGAGCCAGTTAAAGGCTGGAGAAACAGGCTCCTGATGTCCTGACATCTCAGCCCACTCTGCCTCGTGCCTCCACCTCAGTCTGTGCCTTACGTTCTGATGCTAAATGCATCGAGCTGCCTGGGTAGGCTGCTTATTTATGGTTTAGAAAAGGATTTTTTTAAATTGCTCTGTTGCAAATCCTAGTGAGCTTGCATTGGTTCCTACTGACTTCTAAGAGTGGTTATTATAGGTAGCTAAAACTAAAACCATTAAAAACAGTTACTCAAAAATAGTGTTCATTCCTATTTTTTATTTTGATCTAGATTCATAAACAACATTTCTCACACTTTGTCCATCATTATTATTTTTATTTTTTTACTGATATGCCGTAATGATTTTTGGGATTGCATTCTCTGTGATGGAGACATGTGATTTTGCCTTAGAATTAGGCTCAAATGAGGTGTTTCAATAGGCAGCATTATCATGTTTCCTACATTTTGGAACAGACTTTGCATCTATTATGCCTGAAAATGTTGCCTGTGGGGGCAGCTCGCTAGGTTTTGGAGCAGCAACTTTTTTTATGATTATATGTTGCAATAATGCTGAAAACAAATTAGGCCAGTTCAGTCTTTAAAGTCCAACTGCTTTACACATCATTTTGCACCTATCAGGGCACCTATTATATTTCATCATAAGTCATAACTGAACTATTACTGATCATCCTGATTTTTCATCGTCTTGTTTTTTTACACATATTTCATGATTTAAATTTTGTATCATATGCCATAACATGCATATGCATATAATATATACTGTGTTTGTGTTATATAAAATGCATTTTCTCATAAGATAAACTACACACAGTCTGTGTTCACACTGCAAGGTTTTGAGAGTGACAACCGCATCGTTCTTTTGTCCTCAGCAAAAAGCCAAAGAAACCTCAGCGAAGACAAAATAATAATCGCTTGAAACCCCTGACCCTGGCATACGACGGAGATGTGGACATGTAGCCCTTCTCGGAAAACTAACATCATGACAAATATCATCAGCAAATGGTCGAATCTCATGAAAACATGTCCAGGTCGCATTATACCCCTAATTCAAAAGAAAAAATTAAGTAATGATATTTTGCATAAATGAAACAAAGCCTATTTTAGCATCTTTGTACATTATAAGATTATGAAAATGACATTATTTCATTATTTATGAAAATGAAGCACTTTCTTTTATACTGTAATGCATCTGAGCAATTTACTTTCAGTGTTTTTGTAATTCTCAGTATCGTCAACGGCGATTCTCATTTTTGAAATTCTTTTAAATCATAATAAATTAAAGACAATATAACAAATATCATGATGTATTAATACTTATTTAGTGAAATATAGTAAAATATTAGAGTTTTTACATTACAATAAGTTTTTGGGGTAAATGTGCTTAATTGTCATTAAAATATCACAATGCAAATAGTCCTTAGGCTTCATTTTTTGTTTATGAAAAATGTAATTCCTTACCTTTTTTACCATTTGATTTTGGGGTGAAGTATGACCCAGAAATGTTCTTGAGATTCAACCAAATACTAAAAAAAAATAAAAATGCCTAACCATCTCAAATACTGGACCCTAAATGCTTGAATCCAACATAGAGGAAGAAGAAACATCCAAGAGCCGCAAACAAAAACTTTCATACTTTACTTTTACTTCATGTTCTTGTTCTGGAAGAGCCTTTACACACATCTTCACACGCTGTGAGATCATGCCTTTGTTTATATTCAGTTCCTTACAAGTATTTGTCAATTATGCTACTATACGACGGGTCAGGACCTTATCGGAACAACTTTCTTCCGACTTGTGCTTCCCAGCTGAGGGGATTCAATATTTGGAAGGAGCTATTGAACAGACAATGCCAAAACATACAACACACATAGTAGAGAACACGTAAGGAAACTTGGGATCTTCAGAAATCATGGACGACATTTGCTCACAGAAGATGCAGCCTTTCTATGGAAGGTGAAAACAAGACAAATCATGTTCTCCTGGAAGTCCAACTCTGATTCCAGGCGTTATTTTGCACTATATTAGTGCAGCAAGGAAAGCGTTCGCCATTGAACCATTCATGTCTCAGAAGCAACGATTCTTCAAGGCAAGCGAATATGAATCTGGAGCACATCAGTGAGACGGGATAGCTGAAAAAGTGTAAAAATCAATCTCAGAGTGGGACTCTTTAAAGACCTCACGTCCTTTTGTTTTCACTCATTTGTGCATTGTATAGTTTCTATGATGTGTCTTTTCTGCTCAACAGACTTTAAATATGTATTTTTTGTTATAGCTTTCCATTCAGACATTTTTATAATAATTGGTTGATATACAGTTGTCGAGGAAAAGTGGTTGTGACAGTAGTATGACTTTTGATTGGGGGGTTTATGCCCCGTTTTCAATGTCTGGTATCTAATTACATGAATGATGTACGTGTCAAGACAATGGGTCTCACGGGAAGACCGATAGTTTCTGCCTTATTATTGATTAAAAAATGCTGAAGTTTTGTTACTAATTGTTGCCAATTCTCACAGGACAGTGGACATGCAAAATACAGTGGCCCTACAAAGTATTTGGACACGCAAGACAAACTTTAGTATGTCTGAATGTAATTGCATTAGATGGGGAACTGGTTGCATTTTTAAATACTGGAAACGATTAATGTTCACTTCCAAAATGTGCATTTTCTACCAATGCTGCGAAATACTGTACTAAACTATTCTGATGGTGTTTTTGTGCGACCGACCGAGTGCAAGACAAAACGCTTCTTAAAAGCAGCTTCATTTTAGTGAATCAAAATCATATGGCGCGTCCAGTGTAGTCCAATTCCTGAATGAATAACTCTTATGAATCAGTATTTTATACTGGATCAAAAACAAATAATGCAACCACTGCAGTCCGATTCCGGAGCAGCTGACTCGTATGAACCGGTTCTTTTTAGTGAAGCAAAAATGTGCAATGTATCCAGCGTAGTCCAATTCCCAAACAAATGAATCTTATGTTTTTGATTCACTAAAACGAACCGGTTCATAAGATTCATTTGTTTCGGATTTGGACTACACTGGTTGTGTCATGTTTTTGATTCACTAAAAAGCACTGGTTCATATGACACATCCAGTGTAGTCTAATTTCTGAACAAATGACCTTTATGAACTCGTATTTTATACTGAATCAAAAACATACGACGTGTCCAGTGTAGTCTGATTCCCAAACTATACAATGACTCTTATGAACTGGTATTTTATACTGTATCAAAAATATACAACACGACCAATGTGAGTCCGATTCCCGAACGACTCTTTTGAGCAGTTACTATTTAATATATCAATATCATTAAGCAGCTTATGTCTGTGTTATTTAAAACTTGTAAGAGTATTTTATAAAACATTAATGAATTAAAAGTGGTACTATACACACACACAGACACACACACGTCATCAAAAATGCAAATATATTTACTTTTGATATTGTTATCTAATGCATATACATCCATACATGAAGTGTGGTTTAAGTGTGCAAATACTTTCTGGGCTCATTGTACATGTGTAGCACTTTTGTTGGATCTGATATATATATATATATATATATATTATTGTGTAATATTATGACATCATAAGTATGAGCTGTCTCACGCACGTGCAACAAACTTACAAAGCCATCAATCAGTAAATAATTTTTTTATAATTCAGCAGATTAAGCAGTATTCAATTTATATATCCATAAATTATTTTCAAATGATTATACATCACCCTTCCTCCCCTCTAAAAAATACAAAATGCATTGAAAAAGAAAATATAGTGTGTATGTATTCATGAAATGTGATTTAATTTGAATTTAAGGGCCTGTTATATTTTTTATTTAAAAAAAAAAAAGCAGCGTGAATATGATATTCCTAAAATGTGATAGTCTATGAATCCTGCTGAAATCTTCCAGTCAAATAGTAGTTATATAGAAGATGCTTTTTATCGGTCAACTCTCCTCATTTCCCCGATTCATTTAGGCTGCTACATTAGAGTCGTTTCACCCGGCTGTCCTGCTAGCAGCTGGTGAAATGAATGTTTACCTTTAGTTTTATTTGTAAATAGCAATGAGAATTAAATCATATTCATTTCTTTTCTATTGCACAGAAATGTTTAGTACATTGCAAAGTGGTCTCGCTGATCTTTGTTGATTATGGTCATGTTGTAAAGTACCAAGGTCTTTCTTTGTACAGCTTCTGTTTTCTGATGACCTACAGGTAATAAATACTGGTGTATTAAACATGTATGAATGATATTTCTTGTCTCTCTCCATATTTTGTGAATATGAATGTGTTTGATTTTTATCCACTGTATGAAGTCAGATATGACTCTGTTAATGAAAGTCATATGATTGGTTGTGTCGACGTTCATAGGCGTTTCTCCCTCATGCGAGCGAGCATCTGTCAGTGTCAGATGGAGCTGAGTGACCATGTGTTCACGGCGCAGAGAAGAGAAGAGCCTTGCATCAGGACGATCAGCTTCCCCTGAACTTCACTGAATGCCATTGAGCATTTCACAGCGATCAGAGCAGCTGTGAGGAAAGTTCTTCTAAATGATGATGATGATTGCGAGCAGTTTGATGTGTCTCGTGATACTCCTCTCCATTAATGATGTAAGTACATTTACATTTTATCCTAAGAAGAAACATAGTTATTTCAACAAAAAAACATCAAAGTTGAAATGTAAGGCAGGGAATTCTGGGAATGTAAATCTACAGTTATTCACTGTAAATTATACGGTCTTTTTCATTTCCAAAAACGGTATACTACAGTAAAATTAATGTCCAATACATGTAATGTCCGATACAGTTTTTCACCGTATATAGTAGGGGAATTTACCGTTAACCATTTAACAGGTTTTTACTGTAGCATTTTTACAGTCTTTTACCGTTAAATTCACGGTCATTTTTCATAGTGTACCATTAATAATGCAACATCCCAGCATTGTGAGCTGAAGAACCAGAAGCAGTATTTTGTTTTTGACGTCTGTCTCTTCAGTCCTGCCTCCTCCTCTCTCTCTCTCTATAAGGTCCAGCTCACACCTCAGACTGAAGATCGATTTGTCTCTAATTGAAATAAGAGGCAATGTGGTGCTCGAACCTCAAAAGGATTATTGCTTTTTTATATAAATATATAAGTGTGACTGTAAGTGTCTGACCCCTGGAGATAAAGATCCAATATACGAATTCTGTGAAAAGAGCTATTGAGTTGATGTCATAAGTTTCGATTTTTGGGGGGGTTTCCTTTTTTTATTTTTTTTTACCTGGACATGTTCAATGGAATTGCTCCTGTGTTGCAGTAACTTTGCCTTCATCTGATTACGGTGCTGTTTATGTTTTTAACCATGATCTATGGAGTTAAATCACGACTTACTGATTTATTCACTAATATTCTCAACGCAATCATAGATTCTTTTTCAAGTTTAGGAGAGCGCTGGTTTCAGAGACAGTATCTCCCTCTGGGAATGTTTCAGATGAGTTACAGTATGTCATGATTTCATCCTTGCAGGTGAATTTCATTCCTCCTTTGACTGACTGACTGCAATGTACAGAGTGAAAACGTACAGGTCTTTCTACCTGATCAGATCCTTAGAAATGCTTAGCATAATCATAATCATATTATTCTATAAAAAGAATGTAATTAAAAAAATCATAGTTTATATATATATATATATATATATATATATATATATATATATATATATATATATATTAAAAAGACTTTACATTTCTAGTAAAATTCTAGTATTCAAAATATTTAATTTGATATATTTAATAATAATAATATATTATTAAAATAACATACATTAATAATATACATACATACATAAAATAATTTTAAATACAAAAAGACTTACAATATATAATATATGATATATAAAAAATATTTAAATTAAACACTACTGTTATTTATTTATGTTTACCTAAGCCAACTTTAAAAGTTCTGTCTTGATATTGCTTGGGAAAAAAGTATTGTTTTCAAATGTCATTATTTTTATTATAAAAAAGAATCATTCAAATGATCGCTGCACAAGTTCCATTCTGTTTACTTGGCATTCCATCATACATAATCATACTTTAATCTAAAATGAAGGTGCTGTTGTTCACAAGCATTACCTCGTCTGGCTGCTTTGAATCATGTTTATGAATGTTACAACTCCATAAATTTCCATTTTGGGAAATGAACTCTGAGCTGGGAACACCTTGATCTTATTTATAGCTGCAGTGTGATGGCAGTGTGGAACTGCTGGAGACCTAATCCATTAAACCAGCTTCCTGTAAATCTGCCATCGGAAAGCCGTAATCCTGCCCGGAGCTGTTTGGAAAAACTGTCAGTCTTCAAATGAAGTTAATTATGTTTCATAACATTCTGGCACTAAAGCAGCATGTCTGACTGTATTGTGTATCATAAAAAAGTAATTCTGAAATGTAAATGAGGCGAACGAGATGAAAGGTTTTTGTTATATCTTCCTAAATTATCTCATTAACTCATCACTGCAGGGGGCTGGAATTAGATGATGTTTGTTTTTTCTGTGCTGTCACCTCTGTACAGAACACGTTTGTCATGATCTATCTATCTATCTATCTATCTATCTATCTATCTATCTATCTATCTATCTATCTATCTATCTATCTATCTATCTATCTATCTGTCTGTCTGTCTGTCTGTCTGTCTGTCGTTCTATCTATTGTTCTATCGTTCTGTCGTTCTTTTGTCCTGTCTGTCTGTCTGTCTATCGCTCGATCATTCTATTGTTCTATCATTCTGTCTATCGTTCTGTCGCTCTTTTGTCCTATCTATCTATCTATCTATCTATCTATCTGTTTCTGTCTGTCTGTCGCTCTATCATTCTATCGTTCTATGTATTGTTCTATCGCTCTGTCTATCATTCTTTTGTCCTGTCTGTCTATCTATCGTTCTGTCTATCATTCTGTTGTTCTATCTATCTGTCCATCTATCTATCTATCTATCTGTCTATCTGTCTGTCTGTCTGTCTGTCGCTCTATCATTCTATCGTTCTATGTATTGTTCTTTCGTTCTTTTGTCCTGTCTGTCTATCTATCTATCGTTCTATCTACCGTTCTATCTATCTCTGTCTTTATATCGTTCTGTCTATCGTTCTGTCTATCATTCTATCTATCTATCTATCTATCTATCTAATCTGTCGTTCTATCTATCTATCTATCTGTCTGTCACTCTATCATTCTATCGTTCTATGTATTGTTCTTTCGTTCTGTCTATTGTTCTTTTGTCATGTCTGTCTGTCTGTCTATCTATCGTTCTATCTACCGTTCTATCGATCTCTGTATTTCTATCGTTCTGTCTATCATTCTGTTCTTCTATCTATCTATCTATTTGTCTGTCTGTCACTCTATCATTCTATCGTTCTATGTATTGTTCTATCATTCTGTCTATCGTTCTTTTGTCCTGTCTATCTATCTATCTGTCTATCTATCTATCTTTGTTCTATCGTTCTATCTATCTTTATCTTTCTATCGTTCTGTCTATCATTCTGTTGTTCTATCTATCTATCTATCTATCTATCTATCTATCTATCTATCTATCTGTCTGTCTGTCTGTCTGCCTGCCTGTTCATGTAGGCAGACAGATATGTCTATCTAATATGGACACTTTTAGCCAGACCATCTTTCCCTGACTCTCCTGTAGGTCATTTTGATCTGATATTGATGGCTGAGATTCAATTACAGGCACCTCTCTGACACCTTTTGAATCTCCGTATTTGTTTCAGGAATGACCTTGCACTGACCCTGACGTAGGACGTGAACCGCTCTTTAATTAAGTGACATACTATAAAAAAAACTGTCATATTTGGATTATTGATCCCAGAGCTCATGATAAAAGCTCTCTTGAATGACAGATTTGCTGTCAAATCATTTCGAGTGAAGTCAAGGAGATCTTGTCCTTCTGATATGCTGTTTTTTTTCATGATCTCTTGTTGTGTGTAAAACTACATTGTTGTCTCATTTTGTTGTCTCAGGTCAGATATGCCAAAGGAAATAGTCCTCTGACTGCAAGGTCTCTGCAAATGGACAGACCTAAGAGGACAATGAAGTATCCATGTGCTGATTCAGACCCATTGCCCATGTTAAGTCCCAATGTCCGTGACGCCGACCAAGCCCTCCTGTCTGACAAACTCCAGCCATGTCCCGAGCAGGAGCTTTGGGACTGGGCTCCAAACCTGACGGAGACACACCCGTCTGCCCAACAATCCAGGAAACGGGTCATGGTGAACAGAGGAAAAGCTAAGAAGATGTTCGGCTGGGGAGATTTCCAGTGCAAAGTACAGTCCACAAGCCTCAATCTGCTCATCGCTGGGAAGATCGTGGATCACGGCAACGGAGCGTTCAGCGTTTATTTCCGCTACAACACCACCGGAGGTGGAAACGTCTCCGTAGGGCTGGTTCCTCCAAGCAAAGTGGTGGAATTTGATGCAGCGGCTCAAAGCGTTCTGCACTCGGTGGACTCCAGGATGTTTAACTGCAGAGTGGAACATGAGAGGGTGGAGAGAGGTACCAAAAGCACACGCTGCTGGAACGACCCGTCTCAGAGCTGCGACCAGGATCAGACTCACAGCCATGTTTCTTGGCTCTGCTCAAAACCGTTCAAAGTCATCTGTGTCTACATATACTTCTATAGCTTGGACTACAAACTGGTGCAGAAAGTCTGTCCAGACTATAACTACCACAGCGAGTCTCCATACTTACCTTTTGGATGATCATTTTGTCTCGTAATAAAAGAGAAATTAGTACACGTGTTTATTCTAAGATAACTGGGCAGGTTTCCATTTTAAACTGGAATAGGAAAAGTTCACTAATCGAACATTCTGTCATGATTTACTCATCAGCTGATTCTGATTCATAGTAATAATCTGTAGTAATAATCTGTGATCTTTTGATTGTGCTGGCATGAGTGTTACACAAGGGACTTGTAGTTTGGAAGACATTTTCATGCAACTGACATCACAAAACAAGTGTCAGTGAAAATGCATACAAAATCCATATTGCAACTGCATTTATTAAGACAAGCATGTCTGTATATTCATTTAAAGGGGTCATATGATGCTTTTTTAAAGATCATTATTTTGTGTATTTGGTGTAACAGAATATGTTGACATGCTTTAATGTTCAAAAAACACATTATTTTTCAAATACTGTACATTATTGTAGGCCCTCTATGCCCCGCCTCTCTCAAACGCTTCGTTTTTGTAAGGCTATTTTGGGGAGAATAATGGGATGAATCTAACTAATTTCATTATATACTAAAAATCTTTAAAGACACCCTTAGTACAGGTTTGTCTCCATGCACACTTACGAACTTCTCTGTGGCAGGTGCTGGTGAATAGGTGTCATAATTCCTGACATGGACAGAGCAAAACTTAATGAGCTCCTGTAATTGATTTTGCTTTGCTGAGATCGTGTGTCAACGGTTTTCTCATTTCTCTGATGATTTAATGAAACTGCTATGAAACTAAAGTGAATGTAATTTCATTAATGAATAGGCCTACAGTTTGATGCCACACACTGTTGGAGACAATTGCTTCTACTGAAAATGAATGTAAAATGCTTGTTTATCTTAATGTTTATCGAATATTCAGGTCTATATATAAAGGTCATTCTAAAGGTTCTAAATCATTTCAGAGAGCTTTAGCGTATTACAATATTTCGAAACAAATACGTTTTTATCGTATCATCTGTGTACATCATGTAAGTATTTGCATCTGCACTGCCTTTATTTTTTTACATGAAGACTTATTTAAAAACAGGCTTCAGTTTCATAGTGCAAAATTCTATTTGTTTCCTTTTTCCCACCCCAGCGTCTCTAAATGTATATAATCGCAAACGACTGTGATTAGTCTATTCTTATAAGCGAGGAGAAAAGTAACAGGCACCACATGATAACGTCTGCCGTATTCTTGAGAAGTACTGACACAAAGAAACTTAAATAGTCTTTTAAAAACTACGAAAACCAAAAGTATAACAATAACGCAATCCAATCTTTCAGAACGATCACAACTGCGCATTTAGAGTGCCTGTTTCAAGCTAAATGTCACTATTGTAGCCTACTCACTCGTGCCTCCTTTATGTTCGCAGTGCGCATGACGTTATCACTGCATCTGCAAGCAGCACGCGCACCCAAAAACGCGCAGTGATGCACATATAGCGTTTTATTTTCCTATTACAGCATGTCTTAAGTATCGGCAGCCGGGATCCAAGCTCATACGGTGAGTCTCACAATCATTCGATTTACTGTTGTTGTTGTTATTAATAGAAACAGATCATTACCTGTATTTACTGTAGAGGTTGCATAATGACAGAATATAGCTAGTGTTTGTTTTGGTGCGGCAGAGAATGAATGTGGGATGTGAGAATCACATACAGTTGGATATTGTGAGTGATCTGTGTACTGTAGTTTAGATATTGTCAGTTAGGTTTGTTAATGGTAATATATTATAATATATATTAATAATGTTAATATGTTCCTATAGAAAAAATGCACTTGAAAGATAAAGAAGAGGCCTGCATGTTCAGTGCACTGTATTATTTCTTATTTACAAGGTGCAATGCTAAACATTATACAGGTTTCGTTATTGAACGCTGTTTTCAGTAACACAATCTTCTATAAATTAGAACTGTTAAACTATCAAACGTGACACTATTGACAGTTAGCTACAGGTGTATCTCAATAAATTAGAATGTCGTGGAAAAGTTCATTTATTTCAGTAATTCAACTCAAATTGTGAAACTCGTGTATTAAATAAATTCAATGCACACAGACTGAAGTAGTTTAAGTCACTATGGGGGAATCTATGGGGTATTGTCAAGAGGAAAATGAGAAACAAGAGACCAAAAAATGCAGATGAGCTGAAGGCCACTGTCAAAGAAACCTGGGCTTCCATACCACCTCAGCAGTGCCACAAACTGATCACCTCCATGCCACGCCGAATTGAGGCAGTAATTAAAGCAAAAATAGCCCCTACCAAGTATTGAGTACATGTACAGTAAATGAACATACTTTCCAGAAGGCCAACAATTCACTAAAAATGTTTTTTTTATTGGTCTTACGAAGTATTCTAATTTGTTGAGATAGAGAATTGGTGGGTTTTTGTGAAATGTGAGCCAAAATCATCACAATTAAAAGAACCAAAGACTTAAACTACTTCAGTCTGTGTGCATTGAATTTATTTAATACACAAGTTTCACAATTTGAGTTGAATTACTGAAATAAATGGAAAAACTTTTCCATGACATTCTAATTTATTGAGATGCACCTGTAAAATGAAATAATGACATTTTTATTTCAGATACCTGACAAACATGGAGAAAGGGAACCAGTGAGTATGGAGAAAACATCCATTTGCAGACATTCATTATAAAGGATCAGACTTAAGCAAATGAGATGCCTTCATAATTGGTTTGTCATGTCTTTGCAGAGGGATTTCTCATTTTGATCACTTTCTCCAAAGTCAAGAATCATCCGTGGTCAACAAGTTCCAGCAGAAATACTGGAAAACCAAGCAAACACTGATTAAAGTCACAGGAAAGAAGGAAGATGAGCATGTTGTTGCTTCCGATGCTGATCTGGACGCTAAACTGGAGGTGAGGAATGGACCCAGTCCGAACTTTCCTCTGGGTCTGAATGAATCAAATGGTCATGTGATGAATGTGGGTTTTCATACTTCCCTTCAGGTGTTTCATTCAGTACAGAGAACGTGCATGGAGCTCCTTAAGGTGATTGAACAGTATCAAAGGAGAATCAGCCGTAAGAAAACTGCAAATTCACACATATATTATTATGAATTAATTAGTGCTGTCAAACGATTAATCGCGATTAATCGCATCCAAAATAAAAGTTTTTGTATACATAATATATGTGTTTGTACTGTGTATATTTATTATGTGTATATATAAATACACACACATACAGTATATATTTTGAAAATATATAGTTATATTCATATAAATTATATTATATTTATGGTAATATATAAACATAAAATTTTTCTGAAATATATACATGCATGTGTGTGTATTTATATATACTTAATAAATATACACAGCACACACACAAATATTATGTATACAAAAACTTTTATTTTGGATGCGATTAATCGTTTGACAGCACTAATATTAATATAATGCTCACATTTATAAATAGCTTGTGATAAAGAAGCTTAATTGTATTCAATGTGCACTTGTAGTGTGCTTCAAATCTTAAAAGTATATTTAAAAAAATACTTGCAGATAATATAATATTGATGAAATAAAAGGTCACACTTTATTTTAAGGTCCAATTCTCGCTACTAACAAACCATTAACTACGACTTTTGCCTCAATAAACTCCTAATTTGCTGTTTATTAATAGTTAGTAAGGTAGTTGTTAAGTTGAGGTATTGGGTAGGATTAGGGATGTAGAATATGCTCATGCAGAATAGTGCTTTAAGCACTAATAAACAGCCAATATGTTGATAATAGGCATGCTAATAAGCAACTAGTTTATAGTGAGAACTGGTCCCTATGCTAAAGTGTTACCAAGGTTCACTTAAGTGTATTTCAAGAGCGTATAACATGTCATGTTACTTAACACACTAAAGTGCACTTTTAATACTTAATTACTACATTTTTACATTGTTTTAATAATCTTTTGTCGTGCTTTAAAAATGACACGTATTTTGATGTGCTTTGTTGAGTAATGTTGACTGTGTGTTGTTTGATACTACATTTAAAGTTAATATATTGTAAAGGTACTAAATTGTCATTTAATCAATACAAATGTGAACTCATAAATATATTTAAATGCATAACATACACGTTTCAATTGGTCACATGCAAGTGCCGCTATTATAAGTATAATAAGACAGAGGAAGTAATCATTAAAGATGTACTTATGTCTGGCTTAAGTGGGACAAAAAAGCACCCTTACGTTCAACTAATTTTTATTTTATAGTTATTTTACGAGTAGTTATTTAAAAAAATACTTGCAGATAATATAATAAAGTTTTTTTTTGTTTTACTTTAAAGTATATTTTAAATTGTTGTTTTAAAGGGGTGGTTCATTGCGATTTCACTTTTTTTAACGTTAGTTAGTGTGTAATGTTGCTGTTTGAGCATAAACAATATCTGCAAAGTTACGAAGCTGAAAGTTCAATGCAAACGGAGATATCGTCTTAAAATTCTGGCGGTTCTCTGCGCGATCCTCTTCAATAATATCCTCTGCTTTTCAATCGGGCTCAAACTGATAAGCGATATTAACGATGCCGTTGTTTACAATACAACCAGAGCACATGCCACTGAGGAGAGGGGCGGGACGTTTAGACGCGCACTAGAGGCGGTTTAGCCAATCACAACACACTGGGCTAGCTAACCAATCAGAGCCCATCGCCTATTTCTGAGAGTGGGGCTTCATAAAAACAGGAAAAGATCAGCCCGTTTCTCAGAGAAGGGACAGAGCTGTGTGGAATAAAGGTAAATTATGTGAAAATAATGTTTTTTTATTTTTTTACGAAGCATTGACACGTTAGACTGCACCCCATAAACACAGTCAAGCAAGAAAAAACCCAGTGAACCACCCCTTTAATAATCTTTTGTAATACATAAAAAATGACACTTATTTTGATGTGCTAACGTACTAAAGCACATACTTGATTATAATTTGAACTGTAGTGTTATTTGATATTACATTTAGGCCCAAGGTTAATATATTTAAAATTAAACCATTAAACCCAAAATGGTTCTTCTATAGCGTCACTACAAAAAACCCATTCGGAACCTTTATTTTTAAGAATGTGCCGTTCAAATGTTTAACACTTAAAGCTAGATTTCAGTCGTGATTTATTATTCAAAGAAAACATGCTGTATGTATGTGGCTAAATTCTGATGCTTTTTTCAGTTTTGTCCCAGGAGGAGAATGAACTGGGTCGGTTCCTGCGTTCACAGGGCTCTCAGGACAAAAGCCGTGCTGGAAAGATCATGCAAGCTACTGGGAAAGCTCTCTGCTTCTCTTCACAGCAGAGGTGTCTTCAAGCTTCTAATCAAATGCGATTGGTTTGGGAATTCTTCTTCTACGTTTGGTTCATTCGTTTCTCCCTGCAGGCTGGCGCTGCGAGGTCCACTGGGCCGTCTGTACCAGGAGGTGGAGACGTTTCGTTACCGAGCCATTTCTGACACGTGGCTGACGGTGAACAGGATGGAGCAGTCACGGACCGAGTACAGAGGAGCTCTGCTCTGGATGAAGGACGTTTCTCAGGAGCTGGACCCCGACACACACAAGCAGATGGAGAAGTTCCGTAAGGTCAGTCTCACGCAGTGAAACCGTTTCTCCAGCAGAAGGAGTAACGTGTCTTCTAATTATTCTCATCTAGTGTAGCGTGGGATGAGAATGTCTTCTAGAAGGTCTGAAATGTCCATGTTTATCTTAACCTCTTCTTTCTTCTGCTGGTTGTTTTTGATGGGCAGCAGTTTCATTGTTTTTCATCCCTCAGGTTCAAACTCAGGTGCGTCATACCAAGACAAGTTTTGACAAACTGAAGAATGATGTGTGTCAGAAGGTTGATCTGCTCGGAGCCAGTCGCTGTAATCTGCTCTCACACGTTCTGACAACCTATCAGGTGCTGCATTTTAATTGCATCGTGTAGCTTATTTATTTGTTTGCTTATTTATTCATTTATTTATTTACCTGATTAGTGAGCGTTGTAAATGTGATGCATTTATTATTTAATTAGATTAAATTAAATTCATTTTATTTTTTATAAATTATTCTGTTTATTATAACTTTTTTATTATTTATTATAATTTTATTATTATTATTATTTTTTGTTATTATTATTATCTAAATGAATTGTTAAAGGCTGTTATATCTCACAATTTAGCAGAATAAAGCCTTCCAGAACGACGTGTCATGAGGATAAATATAATAAAAGAAGAAGTCTTTTCTTCTATTTCAGACCACATTGCTACATTTCTGGGAGAAAACCTCTCACACTATGGCTGCTATTCATGAGAGCTTCAAAGGCTGCCAGACTCATGAGGCTTCAGCGCTGGGGGTGAGCGCTTTCAGAAGAAATGAATGTCATTATATAGATCTTTGGTGATATTCATATTTATTCATAGGAATATGTGTATGTACTTGGATCTTATTTTGTGTTAAAACTATAAAATAAGTTTCATTTTTCAGTGAGATTTGGATTTGTTTCTGATGTTTTTAGTTTAAAAGAAAGATGATTTTGACATTTTGTATTTACATTTACTTATTTATTTAGCATATTTTGGAAAAAAAAACACTTCAAATGTTCGGGGTCAGTAAAATTATTATTTTTTTAAATTACTGTTATTCAGTAAGGATGCATTACATCAAAAATGACATCTATTATGTTACAAAAGATTTTTCTTTTAAATAAATGTTATTTTGAACTATCATAGTTTTCAACAAAAATATAAAGCAGCACAAATTTTTTCATCATTGATAAGAATAATTGTTTCTTGAGCATCAATTCAGCATATTAGAATGATTTCTGAAAAATCATGTGACACTGAAGACTGGAGTAGTAATGCTGAAAATTCAACTTCACGTCACAGAAATAAATTATATTTTAAAGGTGCAATGTGTAATATTTACATCGATCTATTGACAGAAATGCAATATAATATACACAACTATGTTTTCAGAGGTGTATAAAGACCTTACTTAATGAACCGTTATGTTTTTATTACCTTAGATTGAGCAATTTATATCTACATACACCGCGGGTCCCCTTACATGGAAGTCGCCACCATGTTTCTACAGTAGCCCTAAATGGACAAACTGCTCTACACAGCGCGTTTCGTCACTTTGTTGTTCTTGCGAATAAAACACTGACACAATGATGAACAAGTACATTAATATTCACAATTTATTAAATAATTAAGTAAATATAATTCCTTAATTTACCTTTGTAAAGAAATCTCATTGCTCTCTCTGCTGTCTTTACCGACGACATCCTGTATCGGCCACCGTAGCTTCTCTAAAGGGAGGGGTGAGCGGGGGACTGAGCCGTTGGTTGCAATTCGCAACCTCACCACTAGATGCCGCTAAAATTTACACACTGTACCTTTAAAGGGGTCATATGATGCTTTTTAAAAGATCATTATTTTGTGTATTTGGTGTAACAGAATATGTTGACACGCTTTAATGTTCAAAAAACACATTATTTTTCAAATACTGTACATTAGTACAGTACATTAGTGGGGAAGTCGTGGCCTAATGGTTAGAGAGTCGGACTCATAACCCAAAGGTTGTGGGTTCGAGTCTCGTACCGGCAGGGATTGTAGGTGGGGGGAGTGAATGTACAGCGCTCTCTTCCACCTTCAATACCATGACTGAGGTGCT